TGTCTTATTCTGTCTGAGGCACCAAAACTTAAAGATTCTGGTCTGTTCGTAACTCCAATGTTCTTCTAACTTACATATGTCTTAACCTCAATCCATGTCCCATCTTTCTTTAAAAGAATGGACTTTTTTCAATGAACTGTTAAAATAATCAAACTTGAAACTTTTTGGTAGTGTATATTTTGCTCCAAATTCGGGGCTGTTAGGTTTCTTCCAGTTTCAGATTATAAACTCTTCATCCTATTGAAGGCTTTTCTGGAAGAAACTATAAAGTCTATGATGACTGCATCCTTTTGCCTTTCTCTTAGTCTTGATCTTCAAACTGTCTTGACCTCTAGGATTCCTTTTCCTCCTCACCAGTCAGAATGACCCAAATAGAAGCCTGAGATGTGTGAAATAGAGAAGATGTGAATGTGGCTCCAAATAGAAGAAACGGCCTCGTAGTCTGTAGATCTTTTGTCCTCAGCACATCGTTTATAGGCAACAGGATATGACTGACCTCTGGCAGAAAAATACTACAACAGTCAACTGGGGAGAGTGAAGTAGGCATCTTTGTGCTGTGTTGTTTGCTCACTGCTGTAAGACAGTGATAGTGAAACTCAGGATCCGCTGTTCAGGCTGTTCATAGTGAATATTTAAGTTACTTTACCATACTGCCAGAAGAGGCATAGCAACAACTTCAAGCAGTGATGTGTCCGCTGGTTGAGTCTTGCAAACTGATAAGAAAAACACCTGATCTTTTGGGACTCTTCACCTGAATCCTTGAAGGCTGATCCGTAGCACTGAGTTGTTTGCTGATTTATTATTACTATTGTTAACATTTGCTACTTTGAAAAAAGTAGAATATCTGCTTCTTTGGCCTATTTGAAACAAGATCAAGGTGAATTTCATTTAAGGAAAGATTAAGTACTCTAATGTGATAGAGAGAAGCTACTGAAAAAATAGTGTAATGTAGATCAAGAATGTGAAAGTTCCTCTTTAGACTCTTGCTTGTGATTTCTAAAAGGTTATTTATCCACAAAATGCTGGTTTTCATTCTTCCTTTTTTTTTATTTGAGATATCATTTCATGGCACATGTGGGACAGCCAGGAGATCTGGCCCAGCTGTCTCTACCTAGACTTTAGCAAAGCCTGTGACATTGTCACCCACAGTATTCTCCTGGGGATGCTGGCAGCCCGTGGCCTGGACAGGTACATTCTTTGCTGGGTAAAGAACTGGCTGGGGAGCCAGGACAAGAGTTTGGTGGTGAGTGGAATTAAATCCACCTAGTGACCAGTCATGACTGGTGTACTTCAGGGGTTGATATTGGGACCCATCCTGCTTAATATCTTTACTGATGATCTGGATGAGGGCACTGAGTGCACCCTCAGTAAGTCTGCAGATGACACAAAGTTGGGAGGAAGTGTCAATCTGCCTGAGTGTAGGAAGGTCCTACAGAGGGGTCTGGACAGGCTGGGTCACTGGGCTGAGACCAATGGGATGAGATTCAACAAGAATAAGTGGCAGGTCCTGCACTTTGGTCACAACAACCCCATGCAGTGCTGCAGGCTTGGAGCAGAGTGGCTGGAAGGTTGTGCAGAAGAAAAGGACCTGGTGATTGGTCAGTGCTTGGTTGAACATGAGCCAGCAGTGTGCCCAGGTGGCCAAGAAGGCCAGTGGCATCATGGCTTGTATCAGAAATAGTGCAGTCAGCAGGAGCAGGGAGGTGATCATCCCCCTGCACTCAGTGCTGGTGAGGCCACAGCTTGAGTACTGTGTTCAGTTTTGGGGCCCCTTACTACAAGAAGAACATCAAGGCCCTGGAGTGTGTTTAGAGAAGGGCAGCAGAGCTGGTGAGGGGACAGAAGCACAAGTCTTACAAGGAGTGGTTGAAGAAACTGGAATTGTTTAGTCTGGAGAAGGGGAAGCTCAGGGGAGACCTGGTTGCCCTCTGCAACTCCCTGAAGGGAGGATGTGGTGAGTTGAAGGTCAGCTTTTTCTCCCAGGTAACAGCAATTGGACAAGAGGGAATGGCCTCAAGTTGTACCAGGGGAGGTTCTGGTTGGATGTTAAGAAAAGTTTCCTCTCTGAAAGAGTGGTCAGGTGCTCGAATGGGCTGCCCAAGGAGCTGATAGAGTCAGTGTCCCTGGAGGTGTTCAGGAAATGTTTAGATGTCATACTGAGGGACACAGTTTAGAGGGTAACATAGGTAGTAGATGACTGTTAGACTAGATGATCTGAGAGGTCTTTTCCAACCTTTATAACTTTCTATATAATTTCCCCTTTCAATTATAAAGAAGATAAAGAATTAAATTAGGGTTACAGAATGATACCCAAAAGTACTGGATACAAGAGTTGAAACTTTTGTTTTTGTTAAATTTATTCAGAAAAATATTTGTGTGAATTAAGCAAGACCATGGACATCTGGTTCTTTTAAGCTTATGTATCTCTACTGTCAAGAAGGCAAGTGTATTGCTCACTTTCAAACTTATTATTAAAAACAAACAAAAAATGCTTTCTTCTTGTACATCCATGTAAGTTAACGTCTTTTCCTTTTGAACCACATTAGTCCTTACTTTTATTAGATTTTTTTTTTTCCTGCTACTCCTATTTTTGAAGCTATAAGCTATTCTTTTTGGAGCTTTCAGTATCTGCTTTTGTCCAGGTACCATACAATATCTTCTTTTAAGCCAAAGAATTTATTTGTTGCTAAGTATTTGCCTCTGTATGAAGGATACTGTTGTGTCAGGTGTACTGGAGGGTTAATAACTGGAGAATGAAACCACTGCTGTGCACAGATGTGTTGGGGTTCCCTCAGCAACCCACCGAAGGAGCGTCCTGGCAAGCTAATTACAGCAGCTGAAATGTCTCAGCACATGGCACAGTAATAAGAAGTAACACCCATCTGGGTGGGCTGGCAGCAGCCAGACCTTACTATCTCGCTGGTGTTCTCTCCCTCATTCTGAATCCCTTGCCTGTCTTTAATCCTGCTGTATTTTAAACACCTGTCTCTCTGGAATGTGTGAAACATCCCTTTTACCTACACGAAACTATTTGCTCACCTGCTTTGCTTAGAAAGACAGCTTTCAAAAAAATAGTGGTTATAATATTAGAGAGGAAAGCATATCACATTAATAGAGCAGGGATGAGCTGATAATTCATCAGATTCGATGTGTCTTGGTATCAGAATGCTGGCGAGAAAAGGCTGGTTAAAGTCATTGTAGTTTTACATGTCTTTATGAGCAAAGTTGTGACTGCTGTTACTGACAAGCTAAGAATTGTATATATACTATTTGTTTCATGTACAATGTTGGCCTCTGTCTTCCTCATTTACTATTCGTGGTTGCTTTTTTTTTGTTCAGATCATAAAAACTTGGTGGCCACAAACTGTCATTGTTGTGTATTTGTATGGTGTCTGGCACTATAAGACCTAGTACTGATTTGATATTTTCTATTGTTGCAATGAAAAGGCTTTAAATAATTAAGTCTACAGAAGGCTTAAATTTAAAGGCAAAGCAGAGGGGCCAAAGTGACTTCTAATGCTCTTTTCCATATGAAGTGCGTAGCGCTGCTCATTTCTAAGCTTGCCCAGTGTGTTCTACTGTAAGACCTGGAAACTGTGACTTAATGGATGAGAAGAATTATGCACAGGCTGAAGGAAGAGTGGGATAGGATGTAACTGGGAAAGAATATGGCGGAAGGAGGATCCTTTTGGAGAACTGGGCAGAAGAACAGTGTGTAATTGCAATAAATTAATTCTGTCCAGAACTTGAAGTGTTTTCTGAATTCAGGAAGTGGCTAAATGCCTTATAGTACTAAATTATTGAGAGGGTGACATCATCTTGTGTTGCCAATTACCGTGTTAGTTTATGTTCTAGAGTTCAATCAGAGCAAATGGATTGTGCAGTTCTGCATAAGACTTGTAGGTGTGAGTGCAGCATCACGCAACGCAGCTTGTATATACTTGTTTTAATTAGAGTAATTCCATGCAAATACTGGTAAAAGAGCATTGTTAGGGTAGCAAAGCTGGGAATTTGCAAGCTATGCTTATACATTTATAAGAAGTTAAGTTACAATTAGATAACTTACCTTTGAGATCTGGAGCAGATGCAGGGCTAGATTTTCAGTTCTTTCCAGTTGTCCTGTGTGCCATTGGTTACACACCTTTCAGCTGCCCCAGAAATGAGCAGGGTAATACAAACAAGTAGCCTTTTCCATATGACCTTAATCTTAGCGTACAGTTGTTCTGTACTTCTAAAAAAGCAATATGTGATCACATTGTTAAAGACCGTCAGCCTTTATAGTGTTTTCAACATTCATAAAATGTTTTAAGGTGCATTATTAAACTTCTGCAATAGTTGCCTTTACTGTATGAACTTAGGCTCTCTTCTGCAGACCAGCAGGCTGTGTATGCTCACAGTTTGATCCCTTCAGAAGACATGTGAAGAATGTTTAGAGAAAGAAACAATGAAATATGTTTTAGATGCTTAAAACAAATTCATGATTACTTTAGAACTTGATAAAACAATCTTATACCAAATCTGATTTTAGGCTATCGTTGACTATTTTATATAGCTACTTGTGTGAACAATTTGAAGGTGGTGTGGGTAGAAATGTTCATTTGTGTGTGATAGAGTTAGACACTGAGTTTTAAATCAGATGTGCATATGTTGATGCGTTGTGCATTTACTGTGGAGTAGGGTATGGAGAGGGCAGAGTGCATATGGCTTATTCAGTGACATAACTTGTGATGACTGGACAGAGTTCAGAAAGTGCAATATAAGCACCTGTCTTTTGCAGAGTTAATTTTTTAATATAGAATTTTTTTTTAACTGTGTCCTTGTTATCAGTTCTATAGCAGGATATGTTTTCCTGCTTTAGGATTTTTGCCTGATTCTTGTCTTTTTCCTCCTCTGTGCTTTTACTTACTGGATAGAGTATGTATTAAGGTATGCTTAGTGCCATCTTTTGTTCGTTTCTTGGTTTTTAATGGTTTCTGATGTCTTTGTCATTGCCTCCGCAGTTAACAAGCTTGAACTTAGCAAGTGGAGCTGTAGGCAAGGGGAATGCAGCTGTGCCCCCAGGCTACCGATCAGTGCTCAACAGAAAAGGGCCATTGTGGGCTGTTCAGTCAGACACTCTTACAGATGACAGAAGATGTATCTCTTCAGCAGTCAGGTAAGTTAAAACTGATGCTCCATGTTTTTGAAGGAGAGTGCGTGGTACTCAGAAGCTCATCCGTAATTTTTTTGATCTCTTGCTCAGAAGGTTTGGCCTAAGGACAAATACTTTTTCTCTTCAGGACTACGGTAGGAATTAGGCTGATGAAAACTAACCTGTGTTCCTAGTACCAGCAGTTTCGTGGTGGAATGAGTAAACAGATGAACACATGGAAAGGGAGGGAAAAGGAAAATGTCAGTTTCTTTTCTCTAATTATTTCTCATCTCTATAAGTTTCGGTGCTTTAGTGTCAAGACATAAGCAGAATGCAAACTTTTACCTGATACTGTAGAAATCTCCACCAAGGACTCATCTTCATGCTTTTTCTTTGAATATCAATTTTCTATTGTTTAAAAATAGAGCAGTACTCTGTAGTGTTTTATTAAGGTTCCTTTTCAGATGGCTTCCTTCTGCTCTTTATTAGTTTTGGACATTGGAATTTGTATTTGTGGCTGATACACTCATGGGACTCAGGGAATTGTGATTCTGCAGGAAAAAAAAAACCTATTTACTCCAAGGATTCTAGATCTTGGAAGTTAAGTGCCAGGTGAGCCTACTGCAGAAGTCTAGACTGAACACAGGCTCAGAACTGCTTAAGACATCTGATTTCTGCATTTGCTAGTGCTTTTTTGTCCTTTTAAATTCAGTAACGAGGCAGGACTTCCACAACATGCATTTAGGCTAGAAAACAATGTACAAGTGAAAATATTAATTTGTCTAATTGATTACTGGAAAACAGGGGAAGGTCAGAAAGGCAGATATACAGTATAGAAAGCATGTGACCTGGATGGTCATCTTTTCCCAAATGGGTTCTTCAATAGAAGGATTGGAATGGGATTTGGAAAGCTCAAGAAAAAAAATTTCTTATTTCGTCAGTCACTGCTTTTCATCCTGCCTAAAGAGGAGGAATGTGAGAAATGAATTCCTGGCCTGTTTCTGTTCCAGCACAACGTTTGCCTCTGGGGTTTGCAGTTATTAAGAGAGGTGGTGATTCTGCTCTTGGAGACCAGCCAGGGTAGCTATTACCTAATCCAAATAAAGAACCTATCCAACAGGTGTAAGCTGCCTTCCTCTCCTACACAGTTTGAGGGAGCAGCAGAGTGCAGGCTGTCATAGGCTGTTTCTCAATTCTGCTTGCACCTTTGCATGGATTCAGACATTGTTGGAAAGGAATTACAGTCATAATCTTCTATGAATCTCCACAGAAGGCACAGTAGTTACCACCTTTCTCTGAAGCCATTTCTGTCATATGTTGTTACCTGCCGATCTGACAACCTAGCTTTAATGTCCAGAGCTGCACTCTGAACTGTGCCTCATCTAGCATTCTATGTGTAGCTTAATGCTTGTAGAAATTGTTCTATTTCTATACGAGGATCCAAAAGTTCTTCAGAAGTGTATGGCTGGTATAAGATTGTCAAACTTTTTATGAAACATTTGGTCTTTCAGTACTTGAGTCATCCTCACTATTTTCAAACCAAGAGACAGAAAGACACCGTAAGACCCTTTGCTGAATTACTTTATTTTCATGGCTGCTTGCCTAAAATGTCTAGAATACTGGTAATTAGAAGTTTTTCATGAATATGGAGAAAAAATATCCTGAGACAATGCTGGATTACTTGGGCTGTGAACTTTCTTTTAATGAAAGAATTCCAAAAAGAGCATCAAGATCATTATATGCTGAAATAGCTAGTATTTCAAATGACTAATTTGCTGCTCAGTCTGTTACACTGGAGCTCAGCAGTTCACAGAGGGTCATCTAATGAGTGTCAGCCTGTGCTCAGTACTGGATGACTATGTGAAGAAAAGCTTCCTGTTTTCTTCCATTGAGGTTCTTGTCTAGCAGTTGTAGAATTTAGCAAGGATGGAAATGTTTTGTCAATGGGTCTCTTATCTGGCTTCCATTTGGCTCCAGTTCAAACATCTGCCTCTGAAACTCAGTCACTACAGTTTTTGCAGAGCTGTATGGTAAAACTAAGCCACTCTGCCGCTTCCGAGTTTTGCTTGAAAATTTTATTGTGATACTCGTGAGCTATGAGATTCAGGCTATTATTAATAAATTTTTCTCCTTAATTTCAGCTCCCCCAGTACGATTTATCTAAATTTCTTTGAGCAGAAGTTAGTTCTCCTTTTTTTTTTTGTGGTTGAATGTAGCCTCTGTAGAAGAGTTGCCAAATTAATAGTCAGCTCTGCCAAAAGACAAAGGCAATCTTGAGTTTGTAATACCGAGACAGAGAACAACACTGGATATGTTAAAATGTTATATTATAAATCTATAGTGCAGTCCCTTCTAAGACTTTTTTTTTTCAGTTACTTCCTATAAGCTTTGTCTCTGTTCCCAGTCAGACTGAGGTTTAGGCTTTCACTACGTCCGAGATGAAGAAAGTACAAGAAGTGTGATGTTCCAAGTTGTATAGGGATTCACTTTTGACTTCTGTAACATGGCTGTTAGAGGCCCTTTGCCATGTTTGCTGTAGCCTGGCCTACATTACCCTCTATAGCTCTTTGCAGTTCTGCCAAACCTGCTCTCTCCTTTAACCATAGTCCTGAAGGTCTTATTCCAATCTGTCTCAGCTTCTTACTCTGCCAGTAAGAAATGTTACTTAGTCACATTCTGCCTTAGCCACGTGAACAGGTTAGTTATGCACTTCATAAGGAAAGTGTTTAAGATTGCTGCATATGATTTTATCCTAACATTAATAATGTAACCTAAGAACAACAAAAATGAAAGTGATTTCTTACTATCCACTGGAACTGATTGCCACATTTCTAGTCAGGTCAGTGTCAGGAAATGGTCAGCTCCTGAGGACATTTTCAGTTGCACAATAAAGGTAGAAGATATTGTTTAAGAGAACAAAATTTATTGTTTAGAACCTAAACTAATTTCTGAGTACTGTTGGCAAATAGTTGCATAATCACCAATAATAGTGGTGGTAGGCTTTCCTAGAAGCTTCTGGCACTGGAATCGCCAGTGGTATCTCACTTGTTTTTGAAACTGTTCTCAAAGAGTTTTTTGGGCTTTGCAAATCACTTAATTTCCATGACCTGGGCCAAAGCTAATGAGAGAGAAATCTATCTAATTAGTACAGATTTCTGTGTTGTCAGTGGACAGCTTGGATTCTGCCATCCTTGCACAGGTTCATCTTTTAGAACTCACACAGGCAGTGTGTTGGCAAGCATTCAGCAGTGATACATGGCCAGTATTTTTCCAGAACCTTTGTTTCATTAGCTCCTGGGTCTTTCAGGACGGCTTTCTCAAAACTAAAGGCACAACCAATCTAGCTCTGCATATTTTTTCCTTGTATCTTTTGACAGATTTATCTAACTTGGTTGAGGGAGGCAGGCAAGCGAGCTTCTCTGTCATCAGTGAGAAGCTAAAATGGCACTCCAACTTATACCAGACAGCTTAGATTCTGACTGCTATTAAAGTCAGAAACAAAGGATTCTGCTCTTCTCGTTGTTTAACATGCCGCAAATATTTCTTAGCTCACTTCTTAGCCAAGGTGCTCAGGCTCATCAAGAAATGATGTTTTGTTGACAGGCTCCCTGAACTGAGTTAAATGCTGAAAACAATGTTTTTCAGTTTTATTATCTAGGAGTTTCTGTGTTTAAGTTGTTCTGTCATTTGTAGTGATAAGAACAGTTTAGGGCATTGTGGGTGCGTGCATATACCTGCCATGTGCCCAGGTTCCAAAACAGGTTCTCCTTTTTGTAGTTCTATTTTATTTCTTGCCTGGAAGTCTTGAGTGGGTTGGGAAAGCAGAAGATTCCACCCAGATATCTGGCATCCTAGGCTTTCAGGAACCCCTAACTGTCTAGCTCTGATCTGCAGTGAACCTGAGGCATTCTGGAAGAATTACCCCCATCTGGAGTACTGTGTCCAGGCCTGGGGCCCCCTGTGCAGGGAGGACATGGAGCTCTAGGAGGAGGTCCAGAGGAAACTAGAATGATCATTTCATAGAATGAAACTAGATGATCATTGTGGTCCTTTTCAACCGAGGCCCTTCTATGATTCTGTGATTCTATGAATTAGATGTGCTGCCCATCCACTGTATAGTTAAAGCGTTCATGTAACTGCTTGTGGGCTGCACTGCATGTATTTTACTGCTCATGTGCAAATCAACACGGGCATGGTAAATCCAGCACGTCTTAAAATCACATCTTCCTCTGAGATTGAAAGATGTGGTAATTGTATTAATCTTGGCAGCTAAAGCTAAATTTTTGTAAGAATATACCTGTTTCTCTTTGTTGCATGTGTACTGCCTTGTAGTTCTGCATCTCAAGGGTTAGTGGTAACTTTCCTGTCTTCCAAGTAGCATGTCTCAAGCTCCCTGCTGTCTCTGGACAGGTAGAGACAGTCCATCCTCTGTCCTGTGCTCCACTTGCCAAGTGGCTGGAGCCTGTTTGTTTGCATAGCAGCTGGGTGCACACTGACTGTGAAGAGACTGTACTGCACTGATGCCTCTGGAGGAAATGAAGAGAGAAGGCAGCAGGCACTGATGGCCACAACAGACCTTCAGTTTCAAGAAACTCTGCAGTGACCTTAACACCTCCCTAACTAGGCAGCACAGAAGTGCCAAAGCAGCAGCAGCAGAACATGACCAATACCAGTTCTGTGCCAGCACTGACTTCCCTGTTCCTTTCTCCTAATACCGTTTCTCCCTTTTCTTTTTCCCTTTGAGGAAATGTCTGATTATGAACTCAGTCTGTCTGCACTACACCACTCTTCTAGAGGCTTCATGCTTATATAGTCTTTTTCTTTCCTTCTGCTGTAAAGATGGCCCTTCTAATACCTAACAACAGCAGAGTGCTATCCTTGATCAGGAGTAGGAGTCCTCATTATGAGGCAAATCTCACACAGATCATTCCAATGTTGATTTCCCTCAGTTGTTAAACCACTGTGAGAGGCTCCAGCTCACAGTGTCCTTTTATCACGCTGCCTCCAGGGATGAGTGTTGTGTT